ACCTGCGTGACGTGTCCCATTTGTCACGAGCATCGCCCAGCTGTGGCCTTGTTGCCCTGTGGCCACGTGCTCTGCCGCGACTGCCATCGTTCCAAACAATTGCGCCAGTGCCCCATGTGCCGCAAGGTGATCACTTCGGCCACCCAAGGGCTCTTCATGGATTGAGGCATTGGCTGCTGATGTTGGCTGCTAGGCACCTGCTTTGGTGGGCTGAATCTTCTTATCCTCTTGGATGAGAGGATCCTGCCTGGTGCATGGTCGGAAGAGGTGCCTCACTTTTTGAATCTTTGAGACATTTGGCTCTGGCCTTTTCAAGATGGATGCCAAATGCTTCTTTGATGCCCGACAGTGAGTGGCATAGCAGTTTTGGATCCTCGATAACTCGGGGGTATAAGGCTCTCCCGGTTTTGCCTCATGACCTTTTTGCCCCCACAGTGAGAGGGGGATGGCATCTTCCACGAACAGGTAGTGTGGATTTGATTTTGAAGCATCCCTTCCACAACTTTCAGATTTTTTGAACAAAAAGAAAGAGCATTTAGGATTCTGGCGCCCTGTCCATTTCTGATTTTATTTGTGGGAAGGATGAAAGATGTGCCACAATGATCGCCTTCTTTTCCGAAAAGGTCGGATGCTAGAAAGATTCCGTCCCTTTTAACCATCCGAGTCGATGCCCAAAAGCGGTATGCGACCTTGCCACAGAGATCACAGATGAAAGGTTAAAACAAGGTAACACGCCTCCTCAGTACCCGGGAAAAATCGATCAAAATTGAGCATTTGACCTGGTATTTACAGTGTTTTGTGTGTATCATCATTCCAGGCCCCGAACTGCAAAAGTACGCACAACTTGTTTTTCATCCAGAGCAGCTTGGGTTTCTAGTCTTTCTGGTTATGTCGGTAGACGAACTGGTATATGTATTCCCACAAACGGGGATTAATGACTTTGTCATGTCTGTTTTTCAAGGCATGTGGCACGATTTTTTTCAGCCACATCCAAGACCTATCTAGGACTTGTGTGCCAGCCAATTTGGCTTTGCCTTTGACTTTGCATTTTTTTGTCCATTCCGACTTTTTATGTACAACTGAGCGGACACTGAATCGTTTCATTCTGCACGAAGTCTTCGCAGCTTTTGGCCAACCTTGACATCCAGTGTGCAAGTGCAAGAGGAACGTGCAATAGCGTAGCATGACGTGTGTGTGCAAGTGCAAGAGGAACGTGCAATAGCGTAGCATGACGTGTGTGTGGAAGTGCAAGAGGAACGTGCAGTAGCGTAGCATGACGTGTGTGTGGAAGTGCAAGAGGAACGTGCAGTAGCGTAGCATGACGTGTGTGTGGAAGTGCAAGAGGAACGTGCAATAGCGTAGCATGACGTGTGTGTGCAAGTGCAAGAGGAACGTGCAGTAGCGTAGCATGACGTGTGTGTGGAAGTGCAAGAGAAACGTGCAGTAGCGTAGCATGACGTGTGTGTGTGGAAGTGCAAGAGGAACGTGCAATAGCGTAGCATGACGTGTGTGTGCAAGTGCAAGAGGAACGTGCAGTAGCGTAGCATGACGTGTGTGTGGAAGTGCAAGAGGAACGTGCAATAGCGTAGCATGACGTGTGTGTGCAAGTGCAAGAGGAACGTGCAGTAGCGTAGCATGACGTGTGTGTGGAAGTGCAAGAGAAACGTGCAATAGCGTAGCATGACGTGTGTGTGCAAGTGCAAGAGGAACGTGCAGTAGCGTAGCATGACGTGTGTGTGGAAGTGCAAGAGGAACGTGCAATAGCGTAGCATGACGTGTGTGTGCAAGTGCAAGAGGAACGTGCAATAGCGTAGCATGACGTGTGTGTGTGTGTGCAAGTGCAAGAGGAACGTGCAGTAGCGTAGCATGACGTGTGTGTGGAAGTGCAAGAGGAACATGCAATAGCGTAGCATGACGTGTGTGTGCAAGTGCAAGAGGAACGTGCAGTAGCGTAGCATGACGTGTGTGTGGAAGTGCAAGAGGAACGTGCAATAGCGTAGCATGACGTGTGTGTGCAAGTGCAAGAGGAACGTGCAGTAGCGTAGCATGACTTGTGTGTAGAAGTATACTTGAACGTTATTAGCCCCCCCCACCCCACCCCATCCAACGTTGCATGACATATGTGTGCAAGTGCAAGAGAAACGTGCAGTAGCGTAGCATGACGTGTGTGTGGAAATGCAAGAGGAACGTGCAGTAGCGTAGCATGACGTGTGTGTGGAAGTGCAAGAGGAACGTGCAGTAGCGTAGCATGACGTGTGTGTAGAAGTATACTTGAACGTTATTAGCCCCCCCCACCCCACCCCACCCTACCCTCACCGTGCCACAAACATATCATCAACGTCCCATTAAAAACCTGCACCGTTGCCGAGTACCGAGTGTACGTGACACCTAAAACAAGAGTCGAGATGGACTGCTCCTTGTCCTTGGGCCCATGAATCCAGTTGAGTATCAAGGGTGAAGTGATGAGTTTGGACAAATCGTTTAGCAAAGTTGCCAATTACTCATTGACCACCAAGCGTGAATGGAGGGATTTCACCTTCTTCAAATCATGTCTGGGGATGGCATTCCCTTTTCGCCAGGACCATCTGATGGATCGGCCTCAGGCCTTGGGTTCTGTCTGGGCGCTGGTAACCAATCCAACATGAAGACGTGGCTACAGTTAGAGGATGGCTCGCTTTTCTATCCACATGGGACCCGTGAGCAAACATGGGAAGTGATCTCTGTAAGATGGGCTGTTTCTCGATCTTGTGACTTGTGACCTTCAAGCAACTTGTTGGTCTATTTGATCGTCGCAGACGCAGGCACTCCGGCTGCTTGAAACCGTTGAAATCAAGGCTGGACGCCACGGCTGATGACGGCCTAGGGTGGCCGGGTCGAAAGGTTTCAAAGTTTCGCAGATCTCCGCCACTCATGTTTGGTGCGAAAGCTGGTGAAGCTTCAAAGGTAGGGAAAGTTATTGGGCAATGATGCAGAGTCTTAAGTTGCTTCAAGTTTTTGTGGGTTTTGTCATGTTTTCTTTGTTTGAAGCACGAAGAGACAAAATCTTGTGATGCTTTTTGCATCACACTTGATAGTCCAGGAATATATTGATGGTGGCACTTGGCACGGAAATTAGCTTGGAATGCATACTAAGCGCTGCAATCCATAGCCAGCACATCGTTGCTAAGCACTGTAGCTCCTGGAAGTCTGTAGCTCCTGGAAGTCTTTTTCCGATGCTTGATACCTGAAGTTTTGTTCTGTGATCAGCCTTGACATGCATCTATGGCAGATTTGGCGTTCACATGCGTTCACATGTTTGGTTGATTTTCTGCATTTTTACTTCGCCTTTGCCAGTTGTCATTGCCAAATCATGGCCTGTCTTGGCCCCACATTTTCGCTTATTGGTTGAAACCTTCAGGTGGAGCCGGTGAGCGCTGGAGCAACTCGATGTGCGCCGCCCAAATCTGCCGATTCTCTGTCAAAGTCTGAAGCAATCTGCCAACAGGCCTGAATTCGGTAGAGTCTTCTAGAAATTGAGCACAGCTATGGGTGACTGAAGAGAAAAACTGCGACCAGCCCCGTTTCAAGGTGCATTTGCCTGCTGCAGAGGAGAAGGGGGTTTGGGTCTCCTGACTGGCACGCGTGCTCTGGGAAAGGTTCAGAAACACACCAGATTTTTGTTTGCACGTGTCTGTGGATAGCATGTCATTTACTAGTCATTGGTGTAATGTTGATTAAACTACCTCATGTTTTTGCAGTACCACTTTAGGTTCAATGATCCTTTTCCGTTTTGAACTCGCTTCATCACCTGTTTGACGCAGCATTTCCCACCAGCAGGTGAGAAGGTAAGATTCAGTACACAGCCTTGTGAGCACCTGTCCTTGTCCGTCATGTCGTTCGTGCAGCAGTTGGGAAGGAACGTTGTCCGAGCCCAGCAGCGGTACGACATGGAACGGCAGCAGTACGAGGCCGAGACGCAGCGACTGCTGCAGCTCTGGGCTGAGATCAAGGAGAAATTCATGGCCGAATGCGTCGAAGCATCTCACAAGCGGCACCTTTCCTGCACTATGGTGGTTGGCCATCCTGACCACCTCGCAGCCAGGGGTGCTGGCGGAGACCTGCTGAACCAGCTCTGGGGCATTCTGGTGGAGCTGGGCTTCCAAGATGGAAACGTTGCTCCTTTTGCTAAGAGACTAGCGCTTAGGCCTGATTCCAGCTACTGTGCCCTTCTTACTGGCAAGTGGACCGCCGAAGATGCAACTTCCACCAGCCCACAGCAGAGTCCCGCAGCCCGCGGTGGCACCTGTGTGACGTGCCCCATCTGCCACGAACATCGTCCAGCTGTGGTCCTGATGCCCTGCGGCCACGTGGTGTGCTGCGAGTGCCACGGTTGTCAGAAGCTGCGGCAGTGCCCCATGTGCCGGGAGGTGATCGCATCGACCAGTCGTGGGCTTTTCATGGACTGAGCATCCTGAGCCCCGTTGGCTGGTGGTGGGCAAGGTCTTCTTGGGATGATTTTGCCTAGCGGCCTGGCACATGGCAGCGAAAAGTGCTGCAGTTTTGGACACTTGAGACGTTTGGTGGTGAGGCTTTGTTTGTCTGAAGCTGGATGGCCCGTCCTTCCTGAGAGAATTTTTGCGCCAGATATGCGTGCATAGCCACAAGTGCATGTCCTCTCATGATGTGATTGATAATTACTTTATACCGTATACGGCTTATACCATCTTATCCCACACTTTGCAGCATACCAAAATCTACATATCACTTAGCGGGGTAAGGCTTTCATATCCAGAACTCACATCGAAGATTGCACAAATTTGAACTTGGCTTCAGTTAATGCAGGAGAGGATTTTAGTTCACATTCCACTTCCCTCGAAGAGTCTTCACGGCACTGCAGTGCAAGTGCAGATTTTGCCATGCTGACTTACAATCTCACTTCTGCTCGGAGCCGGATGCTAGACCTTAGCACTCAGGAGGCTTCCGATTGACCATCCAATTTATAGCCCAGAAGCGGCTTGCTGATGCTTGTAGTGCATGTGAGAGAAGCGAGCAAGAAAGATGCAGCCTGGTTTTGTGCCAGTCAGCCGTTGCTTTGTTTCTACCATAGCCGTTGCTTCCTCACCTTGGATTGATGCACGCAGCAGAATCAGTGATGTTCCAATTTTTAGGGATCTGTCCCATTGGGTTTCCACGGATCCCTGTTGCCAAGACTTTTGCCAGGACTTTTGCCTGCTGAGAACCTTCGGGTGGAGTTTGGTGGAGATATTTGGTGAGGTGAGCCCGGACACTTGATGCATTTTGTTGTGTTCAATGTAGACCAATCAATATCCAAACAATTCCAAACATGTGTGTGCCATTTGCATGACATACATGATGCATGCATTCTGCAAAAAACATCATCCACAAAGTGTTTAGGTTTAGAATCGTTGCAAACTGCAGTGTGAGCCGGGGTTTTTCTTTGATGTTCCGAATTGTTCCGAGTTTGCATTTTTTTTCTTGTGCAAACGTTGCGCCTTGCAGATTTTCAGCAGTTTTCAGACTACCTCCCCACTGCCCAACAACCCCCACCATTTCACGTTGTCTTGCAGTCTGGTGCTGCCCAAGAAACCAAAAACATGTGTTCGCAGATGTGAAGAAGTTAACACAGGAGCCATTGCAGTGGAGAGCCCCCCGGATTCAGTGATCTCCATCTCAAAAGATTCAGATGGGTTGTTGAAAGCAATTGATAGGCTCTCCCCTGTTGATTTGGAAATCCATGGAAATTCACTCGGTCTGGATTGCAGTGATTCGGTTTATGTCGTTCAGATTTGGAAACCGGTCTTTGGAGCTGCAAACACCATGGCCACCCCCTTCCGAAATCTTCTGAAGGGATGGAGATGATGGAGTGGATGATGACTTTGTTACGTCAGGACTGGAAAGATTCTCTGCCCAACTTCCAGAGAGTGGACAGCGGAATGGACCGCTGCATTTACTGTAAGGCCAGGCACCACGGATGTCAGGGACGTGAAACATGTGGGAGAGGTAAAGTATGTTGAGGTCCCAAACTTGGAGGTTTCTCAGGATCTTGAAGTCGGTCTTTGTAAACGTTGAAGATGTTCAAGATGGTCGATGGTTGAATTAGGTCCTCTTTGGCGTGTCCCTCGTGTGAGACACGGAAACGCATGTGTACAGGCATGACTCATGACCCCAGAAGAACATCGCATAGAGCTGCAAGGTCACCAGGTCTTCAAGTCATGTGTTGACATCCGAAGACCGGGTCCTGGGTCCTGAAGTCATGTTGTAAGGTCTCCAGCTCTTCCAAAGTCTTCTGCTTTTCCCTTGTCTCCAATTTTCCAGTGGTCCATCCTGGTCCTATTTGCCAACTTTGCTTGCAGAGACAAGGGTTGTGTCGTAAGATGTTTTGAACGTCAAAGTTGGAGGGGTGTGAGACACGTCAAACACGTCAAACACGACTGAGCCATACTAAGTCATAGTATTGAGATGTATTGAGTATGCCACGTTCATATTGCTCTTGCAGCATTTCTTGCCTGGCAACTGGGCTCCTTGCCAGGACCAGATCCCAGCCTTTTCGCCATCACTGCAAGGAGCGAGCGAGAAGGGGTTGGGTTCTGTGTTTCCAGAGTCATGTCTGCACTCTTGAAAGTCAACCGCACAGAAGTGTGGTTATACACCTTGGGAGAGATTGTTGAGAGTGGGGATTGAGGATTCCTGAAGCATGTCTCCACTTGGATGAACTGCTGAAACTTGGCAAGTCGATGGAAGTCGTGCATTTGCAGCGTTTGTTTGCGAAGCATTCTATCACCACGAGCTGCGAGACAAGTAGACTTGCTGTAGACGGCATCTCGCGTCTCTGTGCCCGTCATGTCGTTCCCTCAGCAGCTCGCCAGGAAGACTGTCACTCTCCAGCAGGCATATGATGCTGAGACGCAGCGACTCCTGCAGGTTTGGGTGACTGAGATCAAGGAGAAATTCATCCAAAAATGCCAAGCTGCAGCGGATCAGCGGCAGTTTTCCTGCCGCATGGATGTTAACCGTCCAGACCATCTGTCGTCCAGGGATGTTCGTGAAGACCTCTTGCAGCAGCATCTCCAGGGCATTCTGGCGGAGTTGGGCTTCCGGCATGGAGCTGTCTCTCCTTTTTTTTGGAAGCAGGTGCCTCGCCGTCGAGGCTACGCCTGGGTTCGCTGCACCCGTCTGACAGCCAATTGGGACGCAGATGCGCCCTCAGCCGCCCCTAAGTTGAGTGATTCAGAGCTCTTTCTGGCACACTTTAGGGCCACTCTGGAGGGGTACAGACTTGAAGAGGAGTCCAGGTTTCGAAAAGTTATGTCTGTCGCTCATAGATGGCGAAATGGCGTGAAGGTGGACGATGCAACCTCCACCAGCCCACCACCCAGCAGCACCTGCGCGACGTGTCCTATTTGTTGGCAGCATGGCCCTGCCGTGGTCCTGATGCCCTGTGGCCATGTGCTTTGCCGCTACTGCCATTTTACCAAGGATCTGCAACGCTGCCACGTGTGCCATGCTAGGATCAATGGCTTTCGGGGGCAGGGTCGTCGTAGATGAGATGATCCGGCCTGGCACATGGCAGTGAAGGGTTTGATGCAGTTTTGGGCTGTTGAGTCAGTTGAGATCTTTGTGAGGCTCTCTTTGTCTCAAGCTGGATGCTTCATTCTTCCTGTGAGAAATTGATGCAAGATATGATGCGTGCATATAGCCATAAGTTCATGATAGTGCGGGTCCTCTCCTACAACATGTGATGGGTAGGATTCACTTGTCAAAATCCACGCCTGCACACTCCAAAAGTCAACAGTCTCGCCTCGTGTCAAAGACTTCATGCATATGAACTTGGTTTGAGTGGCAGTGGGAGAGGATTTTAGCATCCATTTTAGTCAACGTTCCACTTATCCCTCGAAGAGTCTTCATGGCAATGCAATATTTGCCATTCTGACTCACAATCTCACTTCTGATTGGAGCCGGATGCTAGATCATAGCACTCGCGAGGCTTTGCGATTGATCCATCCAATTGAAAGCCCACAAGTGGCTTGCAGATGCTCGTAGTGCATGGTAGAGAAACGTGCAAGAAAGATGCAGCCCTGTTGTGCCAGTCAGTAGTAGTTGCTTTGTTCCACCACACCAGAAGTTGGTCTTCGGCCTGGGGTAAGTGCCAGCATCATGCGCATTTTTGCATGACACTTTTCGACTGTTCATTTTGGACTTGCAGCAAGACTTTTCTGGTGTGTTTGTGATTTGACCGTTGCATGGGGTCTCCGCCCCTTCTTTCCGTCCTTGCCCTTTTTGCCAGAACTTTCTGATCGAGTTCTGTGCCTTGGGACTGGAGGCGAGGGCGGGCATGGCACTTGATATGTTTTGAGTTTTGATGTCCAAGAGAGGTGCAAAGATATGAGTGCCAGTTGCGCAGCATAGATGGCGCATGGATTCTGAAGACAAATCAAGGGTTTTGAACAGTGAAAAGTGAAACATTGAAACTGCTCAAGAAAAGTCTCGAGTTGCAGTGCAAGGCGGAGTTCCCAATCCCAACCGATTCGTTGAATGTATTTGGTTGCGTAACTTTAGAGCCACTCAGATTTCAACCTCTTTCAGTCTTGTGGCATGTGTTTTGGTGTTGTACGATCTCGGCCTACAACCTCATCATGCCACGGCCCAGGAACTCAGAAAGCTGAGTGAAGGCGCTGGTGAAGAAGTTGACGCAGGAACCATTGCTGTAGAAACCTCGCGCAGGACTTATTATTGGAGCAGTTTCTTTCTAGATGATTTGCAAGGCATCCCATTTCCCAAGTGCACTGTAAACGCGAACTTGTACTCGTCCCAAAGGTGCAGCTGCACATATTTTCGTGTTGTTTTATCCATTTGGACAGTGGCTGCCGCAGATCGAGATTTAAAGTTCTGGAAGCAATCCAATACGAAGAAACCACCATTGGAGACACGATGTTCATTCTTGGAGATCATTTTTTTCTGGATGGGTATCATAACGAGGTCGCTTCCTGACTCTCCAAATTTCAGTTCGACTTGGGATGAGAATCCGGAGGCTGGTTTCAGTTGGAGTTCTGGTGGAACCCCACCGGTTCTGCTGGTTGCTGTTTTGCCTATGAAGCATTTTCATTTTCATGATCATGCATTTTCTCTGTCAGGAGCTGAAAAGCTTGGCGGAAGGGTCGAATTCAAGGCCAGGCGCCGCATAACAAGACGTCTGAGGGTGATATGTGACTTTACAAAAAAAACCTTGCTATTGTTTCAGAGGGCTGGTTGTTCCTTCGATCTCGATGTTGTTCTTGATTTCTGTGAACCACTGTCGACCAAGTTCGGAGACTTGAGATCCATGCAATCTTTTGTGCCCTGATTTGGCCTTCGCAGTTTGATGTGGAGATAGGTTTCCTCTGGATTATCGGCCAAGACTCAGATAGTCGAAATTTTGACGTTTTATCATGTTTTATCGACTGTTGAGATGTGTGGAATATTCTTGTGCTTTTGCAGCCGCATTTGCCAGGTGGCAGCTCGCCACGGGTTGATCTCATGCAACTTTGCCATCGTTGCAAAGGAGTGAGTGAGAAGGGGTTGGGTTTCCAACTGGGCTGAGTTTCCATCATCATGGCGAATGTTTAAGGAGATTGTTGAGATTGGGGATGATTTCTGAAACATGTCACCGGTATGAAGAATTGCTGAAGCTTAGAAAGTTGATACACGTCATGTATTTGCTGAATTTGTTTGTCAAGAAGGGGCACTGAGCGAGCTAGGCTTGCTGTAGACATCCTGGGATATCCGGGTGCATCCGTCAGCTCATCCGTCATGTCGTTCTGTCAGCACATTATAGCTTCAACCTGGTTTAAATTCTCTGTGGTAACCAAGCAGCTAGCATTGAATGCGTGCAGTGTGAATCACGCGGTGCACCTTGAAGCCACTTGCTCCGAGGACTGCTTCGCCCGTTTTTTCTCAGCCTTCTGCACTGCATGGCCTTCGCTCAGCGGTTGGCAAAGAACCTCAACACCTATGCTGCGGAAACTCATCGCTTGATAGAAAAAAGGTTTGCTGACGTAAGGGAGCACTTCATGGAAAGATGTGAGGCCGCGTCGAAGAATGGAGAGTCGTGCGACTGGTGTGACTATAGTTTTGACCGTTTAGCAGAGAGACGAGATTACGACGAAGACGTGGTCAAGAGGAAACTTGAAGAACACCTAGCCGACTTGGGCTTCCAAACTTTGTCAGTCCGGAGCGCGAACAAGATTGATTATTTACAGGTGACTGCCTCTTGGAGTGCAGATGCCGGGAGTTCCCGCAAAAAGAAGCACAGCAGTCGCCCCTCCGGTGGCACCAGCGTGACGTGCCCCATCTGCCACGAGCATCGCCCAGCCGTAGTTCTGGTGCCCTGTGGCCACGTGGTCTGCCGCGACTGCCACTGTGGCCAGCAGCTGCGCCAGTGCCCCATGTGCCGGGCGGCGATCAAATCGACCAGCCGTGGGCTCTTCATGGACTGAACCTGGTGGGCCGGTGGTGGTTGCTCTGGCCTTGGTTGGCTGGTTTCGTGGGTGATCCTGCAATGAAGTGTCGGATGGTTGAGACGTTTGGTGGCCAGGCCCTTTGAATTTCAATCTGGACGCCTTGTGTTTTTTGGTGTTGCCCCACAGTGAGAGGGCGTGGCAGCTTGCCCGAACTGGAGTGTGGCTTTGATTTTCAAGCATCCCTTCCACAACTTTTCTTTCAGTAAAGAAACATATTATGGATTTTGGATGATTCTGGTGCCTGATCCGTTGTGGCAATAAAAAAAGAAGTCGGAAGGATGCGCCTCAATGATGAGCTTGTGTTCGGGAATAGCCAGATGCTAGAAAGGCTCGGTCCATCTCAGTCCTTTTTAAGCATCCGTGTCGATGCCCAAAAGCGGTGTTCGACCTTAGCAGCCGTGAGTGCATGTGAAAGGCGAAGAAAGGGGGCTTCCGCTACTGGCATCGATGCATATCGTGCACCTCCAGGGAGCTGTAAAAGGCGGAGAGTTGCTGAGCTTGGATGAACCAATGATGATCGAAGTGTTTTTTTTTAACTGCGGATATATACATATACAATTACATATATATACCAGCACCGCCAAAGGGGCCCCACTGTGTTTTTGGAAGTTGATATCTTTAAGGGGTCCCACTACGGGAACCCTTATTCCCAAGGTCGGTCATACCAACTGTTAAAAACATATGTGCTGGATATAGTAAGATATATTTGTAGGTATTCTTTGGTAATCTTATCAAATAACCCCATTCCATCAATCACCAGTTCACACCTGGCTGCGCTGCGGCGGCATCGGCTGGACCAGCTCAACATTTTGGAAAGAGGCTCAGAAGGTGCCAACGGGAGTGGTTGGAAATGCAGTCGCCGAAAACTCACAGTACACAAAATGACAGCATAAAAAAATACATAGTGACATCTTTTGACATTTAGAGTATATACTCTAGCTTATTCTGTGAGTCTTCGAAGCCATCGCACGCATGTATATGCAGCGTAGCGTGACAGAACTTGTCGTCCCATCTGGTTGGGATATGAAATCATCGCTAATTTCTTCAGTTTTCCCATCACGTCCTCATCTGTATAGCAGCTTAGTTTCAGTGGAGAAACTTCTGGAGCACAGTCGTAGACGATATGGTCTAACCTCACATGGTGCTGTTTCCTTTCTGTTTTGCTCGATATCTTCAAGTGCTTGTTTTCTTTTCTTTTCAAACTTTTTGAAAGCCTCTGTCGGAACAGTTTGAGCTTTGAGTGCCCTCATCTTCTCAGCGCTCACCTGCCCAGGTAAAGTAGCCGACATAGCCCCCCAGCCAAGTATTACATCAGTGTTCGTTGTGATATAAATAGTGGAGCATGTGCATATGCTCACATGAAAATGAAACATCAGGGATAGTCAGCCATATATATATAATATATATAAACAAATGCTACTTCCAGAGTTTTCCCTACTCAATAGGGTTAGCCAGCCTCAAACTCTTTTCCATCCGGCATGGCTGGAACTAGATCGACTAGGTTGTTCCCGAAAAAACCCGCTGGAGCCACAGAATAGATCGATCGTTTTTTTTGACCAAACCACCAAAAATGAGATTTCACGACACGAAATGACACGCCCCCTGAACTTGGTGGGCACCCCCGACACTTTTTAAGGGGTCCCACTACGGCACCCCTTAGCCTAAGGGGTCCCACTGTGGGACCCCCAAGGAACCACCCGAGACACGCCACTGACACGTTTGACACGCGCCTTTTTTGGGATTTGGATAGATTTGGAATTTTCTCAGATTTCTAGCCCAAAACATTTACCAGATTACGTTTGGGATTTTACCGTAACTTGCCCAACGAGCTTGCAGGCTCATGGTTTGAAATGGAGATGAACCCTTTTTGCTCGGTAAAAATATCATTTTCCAAAAGATTATGCCCAGCTGTTGTCATTCCCCAAAATGCATTGTCCCATACCATAACCTTATTGTCGGCAGACTTTCCAAAACCTTATTGTTGGCAGGGGATGATGTTGGAACATGTGCTCACCAGGAAATAAAAGTAAACAATTTCGTATCAACTCAGTTGAAGACGAAGCCCTTTCTTGTTGACAACAATGTGTAAGGCTTGTCTCATAGAGTTCTCACGTAGAACTTTCTTGAGGGAACTGTCATGGAATGCTGCTCGCAGCCACTGATTGGCACTAACGCGGATGTCTCCGCCAGGCCAAAACTCACCAGATCGTCGGATCCATTCAATACATTTATCATCGATACGGGCCATCAACGCTTTTGCCATGATCCTTATTCACAGTCATGGTTTTTAAAAATGAATGTTGATGTTTTTTCCCGATGAAACCCTCCAAATATGTTGTTGGACAAGGCTCTTCGCCTCATCATTGAAATCCTTGCTGCCACTCTTGCGCTCGGCATGGCAGATGTCCAACGACGGAATTTCCTTCTAATGATACTTAACATTGTGTTGGGGTACCTTGCACCTCTAGTAACTCTATTACCTATCTGTTTTAACTTGGGCCATTCAGTGCCAACCATTCCATAGCTTTGAAGGTGTTGTACCTGATGCCCATGCCTTTGGTCGATCATTCCTACATGAGCCGGTGGCCAGGCTGCAGTGTGGCCATTGCCTCAGCGATCAAAAATTGAGATGCATGGTCAAGAACCCTCCAAACTACCTCTAAACCACCTAAAAAAATAAGGGGCCCCACTGTGTTTTTTGGCTAAGGGGCCCCACTACGGCACCCGTTTGGTACCCACTGTACTTGGTTTATCATTATACTGTATATTTAGATTATACAGTTTATACATTGCAGTGGTTGGAATGGAAAGGCACCACAAACAGTGTCTCAATCCACAGCCTCCATGACAGGTTCAATTCCCTTTACAACCAAACAACTGACAGTGAAAGTATCAGATTATCACACATGGTGCACCTTGAAGCCCTTTGAATCCAGCAGGAGGAACTTAGACTGCGTTGCGCTTTGATTGCAGCCTTCTGCATGGCATTTGCTCAGCAGTTGGGGAGGAGCCTCAGGGCCTATGCTGTTGAAACTCAGCGCTTGATGGCCAAAGATGTTGCTGACGTAAGAAACGAGTTCATGTGGCTCTGTGAGGCTGCATCGAAGGCTGGCGAGTCGCGGTGCTGTCATGAATATGACTTTAGTCTATTAGCAGAGAGAAAGGATTGCCGGCAAGACATGGTCAAGGAGAAACTTGAAGAAAACCTGGCCGACTTGGACTTCCAAACTTTGTCAGTGTCGAGATTGTGAGCTGGCTAACATGTCGTGTCACCGCCTCTTGGACTGCAGATACTGAGACTTGCTGCGAAGAGAAGCACAGTCCCTCCTCTAGTCAGACCTCCGCCACATGTCCCATTTGTCACGAGCACCGCCCAGTCGTGGTCCTGGTGCCCTGTGGCCACGTCGTTTGCCACGACTGCCATCATTCCAAGCTGCTGCGCCAGTGCCCCATGTGCCGGGCCGAGATCGTATTGGCAACCCAGGGCCTCTTCATGGTCTGAACCTTGTGGGCTGTGCTACGCACCTGGCTGGCTTTGGTGGGCTCTTGTTGGTGAGAGGATTACAACCAACAGATGACGGCAAGGAAAGGTGCTGTGTTTTGCATGGTTGAGAAACTCGGTTGCGGCTCCCTTTGTCTCAAGCTGGATGGCTTGTGAGTCCTGAGAGAAAATTAATGCAAGCTATGACGCGTGCACAGCCATAAGTGCATGTGTCCTCTCCTACACTTGATACTTGACACATCGTGATACAACATTCGTTGAAGCTCAAGTTCGCACTTTGCGACATACCAGCATCTACGTACAGTAGCGCTCACCTGGGTAAGGATTTCATGTCCACATTTCACATCGTAGGACTTGGCTTCAGTGAGTTTAGGAGAGGACTTTAGTCTACGTTCCACTGGAGTCTCCACGGCACTGCGGTACGAGTGCAGATCTTGCCATGCTGGCTCGCAATCTCACTTCCGATCAGAGCCAGATGCTAGACCCTAGCGCTCAGGAGGCTTCCGATTCACTCCCCCAATTGAAAAAGCCTAGAAGTGGCTTGCAGCTGCGTTTATTGCGTGTGACAAAAACGATTAAGAAAGATGCAACCCTGATTTCTGCCATTCAGCTGTTGCTTGTTGCTAAAACATCAGAAGCTGCGCTGTTGCTCTTCAGCTCTTTTGCATTTTGACGTTCACGATTCCCAACAACATCCCAGCATGACCCTTATTGTCAAGAACATCCCAACATCATCCTTTTCAATTTCTAGAAAAGGCAAGTCATTTGCCCTTCCAGTCACTCTTATCAGGACTTTCGCAGGGAGTTTGTGGTTGAAGCATTTGGTGCAGTTGGAGGCGAGCACGGACAATTGGTGCGTTTTGATGCCAATTCATGCGAACCAGACTGAAAGACGCCCCACTATTTGTACTCGTATCTATTTGTGATGTTTGTGTGCCAGTAGCACGACATATTTGCTGCATGGATTCTAGTGGTGACCGATTGCAAAAAGCTGGTGACGATTTGAAAATGACGGATGTCATTTGAGAAGTCGAAGCTTCCCCAGCATGACAAACAACCGAAACCTACGATTTACATCGATTTACTGGGAACCGCGCGAACCCAGATTTATAGGACAACCGACAATTGAAATACCATTTAGATACGTTGGGAACCTTGGAAACCTAAAGCTCCGTAGCTTGGCCATCGACCTCGAGAACCTATCTCTTGGTAATCAACCTTGCCCGAGAGTTTCCTGAACATCGAGAATTTCCGCATGGCATTTAGAGAGTTGCATTATTCCGACGTCTCAAGGTCTGTGGGTCCTGAACTTGGGTTGTCAGGTCTGTCATTGTTAGTTTAGCAGCGCTTGACAACTTGGCCAGAAGTTCTGTTGTAAGATGGATTGAATTTATCAAGTTGGAAGGAGGTGAGAGATACCAAGCTTGCTAGACATGACCCACCTATACCATCCTATACCCAGCAACCAATACTAAGATTCTGGGCTTTCCTGCAGGTGAAACCGGGTGAAGCAGGATCTCCAACCATTTTTGCCATCGCTGCACAGGAGTGGGTGAGAAAGGGGTTGGGTTTCTAACATCATGTGCCTCCTTGGAAAGTCACAGACACAGACAATGTAGCTGTTTTATGCTGTTTTGGGGCGATTGTTGAAATTGTGGATGATCGATTTCCACTAAGTGTCTCCAGATCGACTTGCTGCTGAACCTTGGCCAGTCGTGTGGTTGTTGCATTTTTGCATGCCGCATTTTGCCGACAGCAGGTGTGAGAGGGCTAGGCTTGCTGTAGACAGCATCTCGGGAGTGTCCGTCCGTGTCCGTCATGTCCTTCCGTCAGCAGTTGGCAAGGCAGACCGTCAATCTGCAGCAGGCGTATGACGTGGAGACGCAGCAGATGACGCAGCAGTGGGTGGCGGAGACCAGGGAGAAATTCATCCAAGAATGCCAAACTGCATCCCAGCAGCGGCAGTTTTCCAGCCGTACGTGGGTTACCTCTCCTGGCCACCTGATACAAAGGGGCGTTCCTCCCGACCTCTTGCGGCAGCAGCTCCAGGGCGTTCTGGTGGACCTGGGCTTCCAAGATGGAAGTGTCTCTGCATTTCTTCACTCCAGAGGCACATACATGACCGCAAAATGGGCCGCTGAGGATGCGACCTCCACCAGCCCCGAGCGGAGCCCCAAAGCCGCAAGCGGCACCTGCGTGACGTGTCCCATTTGTCACGAGCATGGCCCAGCTGTGGCCTTGGTGCCCTGCGGCCACGTGCTCTGCCGCGACTGCCATCGTTCCAAACAGCTGCGCCAGTGCCCCATGTGCCGCAAGGTGATCACTTCGGCCACCCAAGGGCTCTTCATGGACTGAGCCCTGTGGGCTGGTGGTGGTTGCTAGGCACCTGGCCTTGGTGGGCTGAATCTTCTTATCCTCTTGGATGAGAGGATCCTTCGGCAGGAAGAGGTGCCTCGCTTTTTGAATCTTTGAGACATTTGGCTCTGGCCTTTTTGAGATGGATGCCAGATGGTTCTTTGATGCCCAACAGTCAGTGGCATAGCAGGTTTGGATCTTCGACACCTCGGGGTATGAGGCTCTCCTGGTTTTACCTTATGATCTTTTTTGCCCCCGCAGTGAGAGGGGCATGGCACCTTCCACAAACAGGTAGTGTGGATTTGATTTTGAAGCATCCCTTCCACAACTTTCAGTTAAGAAAAAAGAGCACTTGGATTCATGGCGCCCTGTCCATTTCTGATTTTGTTTGTGGTGCTCACCAAAGAAGTGGGAAGGATGTGCCTCAATGATCAGCTTCTCTTCCGAAACAGTCGGATGCTAGAAAGACCCAGTCCTTTTTAACCATCCGAGTCGATGCCCAAAAGCGGTATTCGACCTTGCCACAGAGATCACAGGTGAAAGGTTGAAACAAAAGGTGAGATGGACTGCTCCTTGGGCCCATAACGTTCCAGTTGAGTATCAAGGGTGGAGAAGTGATGAGTTTGGACAAATCGTTCGGCAAAGTTGCCAATTACTCATTGACCGCGAATGGAGGGATTGCACCTTCTTCAAATCATGTCTGGGGATGGCATTCCCTCTCCGCCAGGACCGTCTGATGGATCGGCCTCAGGCCACTGGATGGCATGAGGGAGCAGCCACCTTGGGTTCTGTATGGGCGCTGGTAACCAATCCAACGTCCAACGTGAAGACATGGCTACAATTAGAGGATGGCTTGCTTTTCTATCCACATTGGGGACCATTCACAACAGGGAGCAAACATGGGAAGTGATCTCTGTAAGATGGGCTGTTTCTCGATCTTGTGACTTGTGACCTTCAAGTAACTTGTTGGATCTTGTTGGTCTATTTCATCGTCGCAGACGGAGGCACTCCGGCTGCTTGAGACTGTTGAAATCAAGGCTGGGCGCCACGGCTGATGACGGCCTAGGGTGGCCGGGTCGAAAGGTTTCAAAGTTTCGCAGATCTCCGCCACTCATGTTTGGTGCGAAAGCTGGTGAAGCTTCAAAGGTAGGGAAAGTTATTGGGCAATGATGCAGAGTCTTAAGTTGCTTCAAGTTTTTGTGGGTTTTGTCATGTTTTCTTTGTTGAAGCACGAAGACACAAAATCTTGTGATGCTTTTTGCATCACACTTGATAGTCCAGGAATATATTGATGGTGGCACGTGGCACGGAAATTAGCTCGGCATGCATACTAAGCGCTGCAATCCATAGTCAGCACATCGTTGCTAAGCACTGTAGCTCCTGGAAGTCTTTTTCCGATGCTTGATAGCTGAAGTTTTGTTCTGTGATCAGCCTTGACATGCATCTATGGCAGATTTGGCGTTCACATGCGTTCACATCTTTGGTTGATTTCCTGCATTTTCACTTCGCCTTTGCCAGTTTTCATTGCCCAAATCATGGCCTGTCTTGGCCCCAAATTTTCGCTCATTGGTTGAAACCTTTAGGTGGAGCCGGTGAGCGCTGGAGCAACTCGACGTGCGCCGCCCAAATCTGCCGATTCTCTGTCAAAGTCTGAAGCAATCTGCCAACAGGCCTGAATTCATCTGAATTCAGTAGAGTCTTGTAGAAATTGAGCACAGCTACTACTGTAGCTACTGGCTTGAGGCGAAGGAAATCCTGCAAGGAAATCGGCCTGGACCAATGGGTGACTGAAGAGAAAGAAACTGCGACCAGCCCCATTTCAAGGTGCATTTGCCTGCTGCAGAGGAGAAGGGGGTTTGGGTCTCCTGACTGGCATGACATGGACGTGTCCTCTGGGAAAGGTTCAGAAACACACCAGATTTTTGTTTGAACGTGTCTGTGGATAGCATGTCATTTACTGGTCATTGGTGTATTGTTGATTAAACCACCTCATGTTTTTGCAGTACCACTTTAGGTTCTCAATGATCCTTTTCCGTTTTGACTCGCTTCATGACTTGTTTGACGCAGCATTTCCCACCAGCAGGTGAGAAGGTAAGATTACAGTACGCAGCCTTGTGAGCACCTGTCCTTGTCCGTCATGTCGTTCGTGCAGCAGTTGGGAAGGAACGTTGTCCGAGCCCAGCAGCGGTACGACATGGAACGGCAGCAGTACGAGGCCGAGACGCAGCGACTGCTGCAGCTCTGGGTGGCTGAGATCAAGGAGAAATTCATGGCCGAATGCGTCGAAGCATCTCACAAGCGGCACCTTTCCTGCACTATGGTGGTTGGCCATCCTGACCACCTCGCAGCCAGGGGTACTGGCGGAGACCTGCTGAACCAGCTCTGGGGCATTCTGGCGGAGCTGGGCTTCCAAGATGGAAACGTTGCTCCTTTTGCTAAGAGAGCGCTTAGGCCTGATTCCAGCTACTGTGCCCTTCTTACCGGCAAGTGGACCGCCGAAGATGCAACTTCCACCAGCCCACAGCAGAGTCCCGCAGCCCGCGGTGGCACCTGTGTGACGTGCCCCATCTGCCACGAACATCGTCCAGCTGTGGTCCTGGTGCCCTGTGGCCACGTGGTGTGCCGCGAGTGCCACGGTTGTCAGAAGCTGCGGCAGTGCCCCATGTGCCGGGAGGTGATCGCATCGACCAGTCGTGGGCTTTTCATGGACTGAGCATCCTGAGCCCCGTTGGCTGGTGGGCAAGGTCTTCTTGGGATGATTTTGCCTAGCGGCCTGGCACATGGCAGCGAAAAGTGCTGCAGTTTTGGACACTTGAGACGTTTGGTGGTGAGGCTTTGTTTGTCTGAAGCTGGATGGCCCGTCCTTCCTGAGAGAATTTTTGCGCCAGATATGCGTGCATAGCCACAAGTGCATGTCCTCTCATGATGTGATTGATAATTACTTTATACGGTATATGGCTTATACCATCTTATCCCACACTTTGCAGCACACCAAAATCTACATATCACTTAGCTGGGTAAGGCTTTCATATCCAGAACTCACATCAAAGATTGCACAAATTTGAACTTGGCTTCAGTTAATGCAGGAGAGGATTTTAGTTCACATTCCACTTCCCTCGAAGAGTCTTCACGGCACTGCAGTGCAAGTGCAGATTTTGCCATGCTGACTTACAATCTCACTTCTGCTCGGAGCCGGATGCTAGATCTAGCACTCAGGAGGCTTCCGATTGACCATCCAATTTATAGCCCAGAAGCGGCTTGCTGATGCTTGTAGTGCATGTGAGAGAAGCGAGCAAGAAAGATGCAGCCTGGTCTTGTGCCAGTCAGCCGTTGCTTTGTTTATACCATAGCCGTTGCTTCCTCACCTTGGATTGATGCACCCAGCAGAATCCGTGATGTTCCAATTTTTAGGGATCTGTCCCATTGGCAAATTGGGTTTCCACGGATCCCTGTTGGCTGCCAAGACTTTTGCCAGGACTCTTGCCTGCTGAGAACCTTCGGATGGAGTTTGGTGGAGACATTTGGTGAGGTGAGCCCGGACACTTGATGCATTTTGTTGTGTTCAATGTAGACCCAATCAATCTCCAAAGAATTCCAAACATTTGTGTGCCATTGCATGACATACATGATGCATGCATTCTGCAAATAAATCATCCACAAAGTGTTTAGGTTTAGAATCGTTGCAAACTGCAGTGTGAGCCGGGGTTTTCCTTTGATGTTCCGAATTGTTCCGAGTTTGTATTTTTTTTTCTTGTGCAAACGTTGCGCCTTGCAGATTTTCAGCAGTTTTCAGCCTACCTTCCCACTGCCCAACAACCCCCACCATTTCACGTTGTCTTGCAGTCTGGTGCTGCCCAAGAAACAAAAAACATGTGGTCGCAGATGTGCGTGAAGAAGTTGACACAGGAGCCATTGCAGTGGAGAGCCCTCTCCCCTGTTGATTTGGAAACCCCAATCCGTAATGGTGCTTTTGATGGAAATTCACAGTCTGGATTGCAGTGATTCGGTTTATGTCGTTCAGATTTGGAGACCATTTTCATTTCGCCTTTGTCAGTTTTCATCGCCATCATGGCCAGGTGGCGCCGGTGTGCACTGGAGCGACTCGACGTGCCATGGTCCCAGCAACATCTCAAAGATGTCCAGAGAGTCCCTGCCAACGGGTGAAAGTTCTTTGAGCCCCAAATCCGCCAATCTTCTGTCAACTTCTGAAGCAATCTTCCAAGACGACTGAATACAGTGCAGTCATGTGCAGTTTGGTAGAAGTTGAAAGCATACAGTTACTGACTCAAGGATGCTTTCAGCCCCGCTCCAAGGAGCACTCTTCACTGCAAAGGGAAGCTGGATTTGACCAGACTTGCAGGACACAGCGGAGGGATCAGGGGCAGTTTTGGACAGTTTCAACAAAGGAGGTCTGTGACCAGCGGATTATTGATGAAACTCGATGTCTTTTGCAGCAATTTGCTTGCGTTTTGCTTGCACATGGCTTCTTGCACATGGCTTCACCAGCTGTCTTGCGAAGCATTCTGCCACCAGTAGGTGAGAAGCCCAGTTAAAATCTAGAGTGCGTCCGCGTCCGACCCTGTCTACCATGTCGTTCGCTCAGCAGTTGGGAAGGAACGTTGTCCAAGCCCAGCAGCGGTACGAGATTGAAAGGCAGCAGTACGAGGCCGAGACGCAGCGGCTGCTGCAGCTCTGGGTGGCTAAGATCAAGGAGAAGTTCATGGCGCAATGCGAAGCCGCCTCCCATCGGCGGGAGCTTCGCTGCGCCATGCAGGTGGACTATCCCCGCGACCTGGGGTACAGGGATTCTGTTGACCGAAGCCGCTTGCAGCAGCAGCTCCAGGAAGTTCTGGTGGAGTTGGGCTTTCAAGATGGAAATGTCTCTGCTTTTGGAAGGAGACAGGTGCCTTGCCCTCCCTCAGGCTACAAACGGGTTTGCCAAGCAACTATGTCCGCCAATTGGGCTGCCGACGATTCGACTTCCACCGGCCAGGAGCGGAGCCCCAAAGCCTCGGGCGGGACCTGCGTGACATGTCCCATTTGCCACGAGCACCGCCCAGCCGTGGTCCTGATGCCATGTGGTCACGTGGTGTGCCGCGACTGCCACCGCTGCCAGCAGCTGAGGCAGTGCCCCATGTGCCGCAAGGTGATCACATCGGCCAGCCAAGGGCTCTTCATGGACTGAGCCCTGCTGGGGATTGTTGGTGCACCGGGCTTGGGTATTGCTGGCTGCTGGATCTTCTTGGATGCGAGGATCTGGCTTGGCGCATGGAAGTGAAAGGTGCTGCAATTTTGGATCGTTGGTGGCGAGCCTCTCTTTGTCTCAAGCTGGATTTCTGAGAGAAAATTGATGCAAGCTATGATGCGTGCGCAGCCATGAGTGCATGTCCTCTCCCACACGGCATGATTGATACTTATGCTTGATAAGTCTTGATCAACACATTTGTTAAAATTAGCACTTCGCAACGCACGAGAACCATCCAAAATCATCCAAAATTCACCTATAGTACTTATTTGGGCAAGACTTCCATGTCCACATTTCACATCGTAAAGTTCATGCATTTGAATTTGGCTTCACAGTGCGTTTAGGAGAGGACTTTATTTCACGTTCCACTTCCCTCGAAGAGTCTCCACGGCACTGCAGTACACCTGCAGATTTGCCATGCTGACTCACAATCTCACTTCTGATCGGAGCCGGATGCTAGACCTTCTAGCACTCAGGCGGCTTCCGATTCATCCCCTCCAATTGAAAGCCCAGAAGTGGCTTGCAGATGCTTGTAGTGAATGTAAGAGAAACGAGCAAGAAAGATGCAACCCTGTTTTCTGCCATTCAGTTGTTGCTTCGTTTCTCCATGTTTCTCCACACCAAGAAGTTGTTTGTGATTTGCCCGTCCCGTGGGGTTTTCATTCCTGCTTTCTGTCCTCGTCCTTTCTGCCAGGACTTGAGATGGAGTTCAATCAGTTCAATCGGGTTCAGTTGCAGGCGAGGGCGGACAGTTGATGCGTTTTGATGCCAAGTAGAGGTCCAAAGATGTCCGCGTCAGTTGCACGGGATACGGGCTGCATGGGGTGTGGAGACATATGGAGACAAATCTTGCGCGAAAGATCACAAAGGTGTTGAAGTTTTATACAGACTACCATGTGAGAAACACTCGGAGGCTGAGGTTTTTGAAGTTGTTTCTTGTGCAAAACGATGTGGCATGATCTCTTGACATGTGTTAGTTCGGTCTCACAGACTTTCAGCCTCGCTTCCCCAGTTGCCAAAGGAACCCGGAACCCACCATGCCACGGGCAGGCCTCCTCGCCGGCACCTCCTGGGCACCCCAAGGAACGTGTGACCATCCCAGAGGTGCAGCCGCCCATGGGATTTTCGTTTTCCTATCTATTTGGGCACTGGCTGCAGTCGAAGAGATTTGGAGTCTTGGAAGCATACCCATGAACCAATACCAAAAAGAAACATCTCTGGAACAGGCTGTTCATTCTATGCCATCCGGTTGCGAGATCACCTTTGGATGGGTATCATCTTGGGGTCACAACTCGGCTTTACCAATTTAGTTTGAGTTGGGATGAGAATCCATAGGCGGGCTTCAGTTAGTTTGAACGTTTCTCTAAACTTCAAACCTGTTGCTTTCTCCTGGGAAGTGCTTTGAACGTTTCTCTAAACTTCAAACCTGTTGCTTTCTCCTGGGAAGTGCTGGCCCAGGTGGCCCACTTGTACCACTTGGCATCGGCTCTGTCCGGCAGCCACGGAAGTCAAGGCTGGGCACGGCCACTGTCCATAGTTTGAGATGTGAGAAGGTCTGAGGTCTCAATGCCAGGACTTTTTCTTCATGGATTCAAACCCATCCATCATTCTGGCCGCTTGGCCTGGACCAAAACTGAATCAGGAGACGTTTCAACATGACCCCGGTGCGAGATTTTTCTGGATGGTGACCCCTAAATTTCCATAAATTTCCTAAAGATATGGTTGGAAATCGGGTTCTTCCCCATATAGCTGGTGACTTTCCTATCACTTCCCATTTTCACTCTCCGAAAGGGATGGAGAGGTGCCTGCAAGAAGAAGTCAGGGAATAAAAACTGGATTTAAAGCAGGGGCACACCACCATCCATCTGTCTCACTCTTGAGGTCCCTCAGAATCTTGCAGTCTTGGTTTGATGTTAAGGATGAGCAATGATCAGATTCGGGCCAGTTGGATTGCATTTTGGGGTCACCTTAGTTTTAGACATAACTGTAAATATTCAGTCTTCACGTTTCAAAAGGGATTCTTAGTGACCTCACTGACCTCACCAAGAGAAATGCAATTATGTCGATATAGGCCGGACCTCTCGTGTGCGACAAATGGAGGTTTCCAAAGAAACGGGGGCTACCCCCAGTTATCATCCCATTTTAATGCGATTTTCTCCATCATACAGTCATAAACCAAAAAATAAACCATCCATTTTGGGGTACCCCCCATGTATGGAAACGTCCAAATAGATTGGCATATCATCCTCAAAAATCAGGGTTCCTTACAGCACTTCCCGACTTTCGCAGGTGCAAGGGATTGACCACAAGAAGTTCTGGACCCCTTTGCCGGACGAAGTTCGAGCCCAACTGCGTCTCTACAACACGCCCGTTTCTGAAAAGGATTGTCCTGACTCGCCTCAAGGAAATTTCGCAGAGACGCTCGCCTTCAGTGCTTAAACGGCGGGGTTGACAAAAAAACGAACTGGGGATTTTGGACATTACGGACAAGGCAAGTGCCTCAAGAAACCTGGTGTTCTTATGCATTCTTCACGTTTGTTTAAAGTCGAAAGATCGATGATTTCTGAGGAGCAACTGGATACATAAATCGTAGTTTGATGGACAGACTATGGGATTGCGAGGATTTCTGGAGAATTTCGGTTTTGCGGTTTTCCATTCGGCGCTGCTTGCAAAGTTCTCTGCGCACAATCCAACTAGACGACGGATGGCCCGAGAGCGTAGAGGAGCAGAGTCTTCTGTTGTTAGTATGGAGACACTATATTGCAAGACAATATATTAAAGATGTATTAAAGACTATTAAAGGCAGACGAGAAGAATAGTATCAAGACAATATATCACAAACACAAGACCATAGTTTGCATCGTAAATTTCGTATAGTTTGTCATACAGAACTTTTTACAAACAGACGCGTTTGCACACAGAGACTTTTACACACAGAAGCTTTTACACAAACACCTTCACACGCAGAGACTTTTACACACAGACGCTTTTACACACAGACACTTTTACACACAGACGCTTTTACACACAGACGCTTTTACAGAACCACTTTCACACGCAGAGACTTTTACACACAGACGCTTTCACACTTGCTCAGAAATATCTTATCGAATTACTGATGTGGAATGCATCGCACGTGCAAAAAACACCTCAGTTAACCTGACAGGCACGGTTTGATGATTAGAAGTGAGAAACTGTGCGAAGGTAATCTTTCTACGTCCTTGCTCGAAGGATTTACCAGCTCTGATGCAGCTCAGTCAGATTGCGAAAACCGTACAGTTGTTTGGTTTGAAAAACGGCATGCCGGTTCTTGGCTTGGCCGGTCGCCATTTCGGAAATGGAAAATAATGCAGGTACGTTTGCACGACATCATGGATGGGTCTTCGTTGGCCCGTGCCATCCATGTGCCCACGGGCCCCCTGCTGCTATTTGAAAAATAAGTGAAAAACGAAAATGCTACCGACGTCAATAATGAAAACCATCGAAGCAAATTCATCAAGCAAGTTAGAAGTTTTACATCTTTTCAGATGATCCACACACACGCCTCGCTGCCGCGAGGCTTTTTTGACGATGTCGAGAAAGCTCGTGAAGCTCTTATCTAGGCCCTGAAGCAGGAAAAAGCGATTAACGCAAATCAAAACACAGGGAGGAGATCTGCATTTGAATTATCCGGTAGGCTCAGAACGACATAGGCAGGAAGTTCAGGTGTCGTTAATCATCAATGTCCGACAACGCTTCCATGGTCGCAGTCTGTTGAGAAAGAGCTTGAGTCGTCACAGCCAAGTGGCTAGCAAGGTGAGCCAAGTCTGTTGCCGAGAAGACCTGGACCGGATTTGTGCTCAAGTCATCTCCCGGATTTTCAAGCTTCTCAAGGATCGCAGCATTGGATTCCCTGCCATTGTTGAGAATGTCCCAGAGGACCGAAGCCAGTTGGTGGATCTGACTTGGTGCCGATGCCACGCCAACATTGGCGATGATGGAGTCAGTCTCGTCCATCTCTGAGCCCGGTAGAGACTCCTGGTTTTGTTCAGGCTGATCAGCATTGTCAGGCGATTGTGGGTGTTGATGCCATGAGTATGGCTCATATTCCACCTCAGGAATATTGAAGTGCCGACGCCAGTAACTGGGGAGATAAGTTGATTGCTCCCATGAGTCAATCCATCCATAGCGGTCAGCACGAATGTGACCAACAATCCCGTTGAAGAAGAACTCCGGTTGACGGTTGTGCTGGACCCCGTAACGGTCCACTTCCGTCACCATGAGGCTTCTGACTCCCGTTTGAGGAGATCGAACCTCCGTGAAAATGTGAGTATGGAGTGTTCGATTCTGTCGTTGGATTTCCGTCTGGAGTGGGTAAGCTTCTTCAACTGCCGGCTGTAGTGGAGCCTGATGGGAAGGGTCAACGGGTAGAGGGACGGATTGAGATGGTGCGGTATATCCGTACGGTGACGAAATGCCGCTATGAGTACTCCCGGAGAGGGATGGTAGGGTCAGATCGTCGGTGATACTGCTGGGATGAGGTCTTTGACCGGAGGATGTAGCACCACTACTGGATTGACCTTGAAATCGAGAATGGCGACGTGGCATGCTCATCAGTGCTCGAGGTGAGGTGAAACCGGCGAGACAGGAATCACGCTTGGTCATGATAAAGCTGAAGCCAAGGGCTGAGGGATATTACATGGAGAGGTAAAAAGGAACAAGGTCACCATGGGATGGAAGGAAAGAAGATTAAAAGATATTAAAAGATGAAGCATAAAGCACAAGGACTTTGTTATCCGCCTTATGGAAGCATGTTGCGGTTTGGGAGGGCCTCATGGCAGCCCATGCGCATGATATAGGGCTGATAGTGAGACGTGAAATATCGAATATGGTTCGGAAGTAAAATGCCGAATTCTTGGCCCTCAGTCCAATGAGGACGATATTCATGAAGAAGTTCAACAAGGCGGTCCTCGTTGTGGAGAGCGAAAGTGTCTCCAGTCTCGTCTTGCCACCGGATGTCCATGGAGGACGGGGGAAGATAGCGATCCCACGTGTACCAGATGTGTTGGCTGATGCAACATAGCAGGTTGTACACCGTGAATGATTCAAGACGGTGGGTGTTAAGCAAGACGTTGTAGGTGAACAGGGCAAGTTCTTCATTCCTGCTAACCTCTAAGATCAGTTAAGGCAAAAAAATGACTAATAGTCAAATTTCAATTTTAAGGCAAAAAATTAAACTAATAGTTAATTTTGATAAAAAATTGACTTAAGTTAATTTGCCTCCATTGCCTTAAGAAAAGCTTGTAAAAACCAACTGAAATCAAAGGATTATTTATAAAAAAATGAAGAACAACGATAAAGAAGAGACTTGCAGCTCTAACATGTCAATAGTCTTTGCACCATCAAAGTGTTATTATGGTTTCAGGTTTTGTCCTAAGGCGTGGATGATGGTCCAGAGTTCAAGACGGTTTTGAAACCGTGATGACGTCAAGACTTGACGAACAAGATGTGGAGTGAATTTGTGTTTGGCACGACGCCAAAGGGTGGCGAGGCCAAACTGTGCGTTGGTATTCAGAAGGGTTTTTTTGAGAATACCCTTCTTTGGGTGGAAGAATTGGCAAATGAAGGGATAGTTGAGTCTGGGTTGCCACTCTTGAATGAGGGCCATTTCGAGGCTGCGATAGTCTGCTCTGTCTGTGTAGATTGGGATCGGAGCCCAAATGTACAGGTTGTCGTGGTCATGCCAATAGCGAAGTGCCAGCTCGGCTTGGACAAGTCTCTCGTTCGTGAGTTGGAAGTATTTCCTGGAGCGGCTGTACTCTCTGTCGAGGGTGTTGTGCATTGCAGAGCCCACATAGAATTTGGGTTGCATGTTGGCAATGTGAGTGAAACGGATGTAGACGCTCTGAGGCTGGAAAAATTGTAGGTGCTTGAGATCGGCACACCCTTCCAGAATTGACTTCAGCTTAGGATTGGGTCGGAGACCGTGGAGAATTGCCAACACCATCATACGTGTTTGGATGATGCGGAAGCCCTGAAAAAGATGGATGCTGTGAGTCATGGTGAAGGGAGTCAAAATGTAGATGACGAGAATCATCGAATGGAGAATGTGCAAATGGGATTGAAGCACCTTGTGCTTGAGTTTGCGACGAAAGAGAGGTGCTAGTCAATTGGTGAGACTAATGCCTGCTGTCATGGCTTGAAGGAGATTGAGCGCATCATAGTTCTTCCCCATGGTTGACAGGGATGCCCATCATGACGGCAACTCGTTCGACTGTGTCCAGAGCTTCTGCCGGCTGGTTAGCCCGCCATTCCTCTGTTTTTGCAATGTTGTCCGTGAGGACCTTCCTCTTTGATTCCGATAAGTTGAGTTCTTTGAGCCATTTGTTGAAGGCTCGCACTGCAAGGGCTGGCGGCATGTTTTGAGCAAGCCATGGATTCACGGTGGTGGTGGCGACTAGCAAAGAGGACGGATCGAAGCCAGGTGGTGCTGGAGGTGCTGGACTTTGGGAATTCCGAAGGAGAGCTGCTTGAATGGGTGTTGAAGCAGGACTCGCTGGCTTCGAGTTGAGTGAGCTCATGCTGGGTGTCTGGGTCTGCTGTACGGGTAGGAACCCAGCTATGGATGAGGTCAGCAATTTGTTGTGCCGCGTACTTGGTGTTATTGGTTTTGTCAAGAAGCTTTCCATCTTGTCTGGCTTTGCAAGAGGAGACCTTGTCCAGGTCCACTCACTTGTTTCTGAGCTGGGTCAAGAGCTCCGTCATGAATACAACTGCTGTGATGTCTCCAGTAGGTATCAAGTAGAGTTCACGTCCATGAGCCAGCTTGCGAAGCCAGAAGTTGTTGGCCTGTTGATACAACAGGGCCGCCACCGGTAATTTCAGAGGATCACATCCTTCGATGTCCAGTTTCTGCGTGAAGGCTGATTGACGAATGCACCGAGGGAAAATCAAGCTGTTGATCTTCTGGTTGTCGTAGTGGTCTTTATCCTCTTGCCAGTGAGGATTGAGGCCAAATCCATATGTGCGGCTGTCATCAACAGTTGTATGACCTCCGGGTGAGTTCGTATATGGAGTACCAGCTTGACGAGGTTGGGACGAAGGGATTGATGGAGTGCTGGGTGATGCAGCTTGAGTGGGTGGACAAGGCAAGGTAGGTGAGCAAGGTGGAGTTGTTGGACGAGGTGGGAATGGATATGCCAGGGTAGGTGGAGGTGACGATGGAGGTGCCGGTGGAAACCGTGGATTTGGCCATGTGCCCGACTGAGTGGCTGAGTTTTGACTGATGGATTGATTCAGAAAATAAGGTCCCGACTGTTGTAAATTGAACTGAGGTCGAAACAGAGGTCGAGACTGAGGCCGTGACATTTGTTGTGAGTGCCAGATTGCCGTTTGCATTGGTCCACACCATCGAGGAAAGAAGGGTAGTTCTTGTCGT